CAACGCTATGGTTATAATTTCAATCTATCGGACGGTATTTATATGACAATAGTGTAATAGTCAGAGTATTCTGGCATTGCACCGACTGACATACCGTTCGATAGATTCAATTCTCAGTCGTGCAATTCTGTGGTAAACCACTCATACATTTATGAAAAAAAAACAATCTGTTAATATAGCAAATTTAATACTATAAGTTTTTGTATAGTACGAATTTAATGGATCTGTAGACATGAAAATGAAACCTTCCACTTCAAAGCAAACTAAAACAGCTCTCAAAAGAGGGGCTGAAAAATTGATTGACAAGAGAAATAACAAAAAGATTAAACAGAAAAAAACAGTAAGATAAATAATTATTTATAATCTTAATACTTTTATCTAATATTCTAAGGTGATGAATTATAGCATGAATTTATTTATTTATTTTTTTTAGAGTTCATCTTACAGGGAAATCTTTGAGGAGAAATTGCGGACTGAAGATTTCGATGAAGAAATCATCAATTCGGTAACCTTCCGGCAGGGAGATGGTTTGGCTACCATCAAAAGTCAGTTTAATCCAGAAGAGAAGGCGACCGACTATTGGACAATAACACACTATAAGTGTAAGAACATAAACAAAGTTCCATCAAAGGAGAGGTAAATACTAGACTTTGGTTTACTTTTTAATAAAAAAACTATTGCTTATAATAAAAAATAAATCAACTGTTTCTATTCACTGTTCACTGAATAATTAATTTATGTTACAGGTGGCGTCACTCTGAGGCATCTGTTAAGATAACGACTTCAGATAAATCAAAAGACCAAACTTTAAAATATACAAGTTTGAATGAGACCATGCAGGTCATCTTCGACGTGATTTTGAAGGATCCAGAACGTCGTACGATAAAAAGTAATTTAGCATTATGAGTGTAATATTCTAAAAAAATATTTTTTATTTAATAAATAAAACATTACATAAATATAAATGAATTTGTATTATATTACACTATTAAGTCCTGTAAAATCATGTCAGACATTGCGTTAAAATGAAATTGTAATATTTCGTACAAAAATGAAGTGTCGTCGTTTTGTAGATGAGAATAATAATTAAAATCATAGTTTTGTATATACTGGTTTGTGAATGCGTTCCTCTGACAACTGATGGGCAAACCTCTGACGTCGTTTTTAATCAGTTCATAAGCTGCATCAAATGTTGCTTGAAAACTCTGTAGACGTTTCTGTTTTTCTGCGATATAAAGGTCCACACAATGCTGAAGTTGTTTATGTCTACAGAAATCTATATGTGAGAGTGTAATATAATCATCATTTATAGATATGTAAGGTTATTGAACTCTGCTTCACATTAATTGAATATGTGAAATTCTCGGTGATTCTTACACGTCTACACCTGGTATGTAAATTGTTAGTAATTGAAGTGTAATTAGATTGAGACATAAGCGTACACCATTGCTCTAAATTTAATGTAATAATTTTTTTCGTTAACTTGCACTCTAATAACACAATAATCGAAATTTGTTTGCTGATTAATAGGCCGACTGTAACACTCTTCTTACCAAATGGACGTATGTCAAATACCGATTTTGATACAATTACCGGTAGACCCATAACGAATTAATGTTCTTTTTTTAAATCATTAAAAAACCTTTCAAACTATAAACGTAATTATTTTTTTTAAAATTGATATAAAGTTTTTTTTTAAAATATTTAAAAAAATCTTTCAAACTATAAACGTAATTATTTTTTTAAATTTGATATAATATAACCGATGGGAGATATCCTTTGAACTGACAGCATTTTTACTTTGTGAGCGTATTATATACTAAACATGATAGATAAAAAAAAAAAAAAAAAAAAAAAAAAAAATGTGAGCGTACAGTATAGTCGACTACTGCATGCAGTGGAGGGGAGAATTACATATTATACTTACCTGATACCTGAAAACATTTAAATTAACACTACACACAGTAATCCACTACACCACGCTCACGAGATATTACATCAAATAATAACACATATAAGTTGTTTTAAAAAAAATCAGCATTTATTTTTATTTACTATAACATGATTAGCATACATTTAAATTATTTCTACACACACTAACCTCATTAGTCTATACGATCGTGAAATATTAAATCAAATATTAAGACATATAATTTGTTTTTTTTTTTTTAAAAAATCAGCATTTAATTTCATTTAGTGTAACATATAATAAAAACATGATTAGTCAACAGTAAAAAAAAATCAACATTTTATTTTTATTTACTATAACATAATATAATAAAAACTTGATTAACAAACAGTATCGTATGATTCAGATTCACAACTGTGAATATGTTCGGTTTTACAGTATTTACTTAATACATTTTGAACATACTGATTACCCTTCATTAATAATACATATAAACATCTTGGACTGAATCTGCAATGTTCAATCCATGGGTCGTCCAGCCTTTCCCAGTTATGAAGAATAAGACCACAACAAAAGCATTCCACGACATCATCCACTCCTGAATATTTTAAGCCACATTCGGACAATGTATATTTATTTTGAGAAGTATTTAACGGGAATAATTTGAATGTTTAAAATCTTGATGCAAACGATGAAAATTTTGGATGAACCATGGTCGGATTATTTCGTATACGATAAACTAATGATTCAAAATCATTCGGACATTTTTGAAAATTCATTTTTGAAGAAATTAAATAACTTATACAATGTAATAAAACTTCAAGAAAATAAAGAAAAATGAGACACGACTTAAGTGAACGGCGGATCATTAGTAACTGAATATGAGAAAATGATCACCTTATAACTAAAAATTGTATACATTTTTTTAGAAAAATACCGACATTCATTAATTAGATCAATTGCAGTGCAACCAACATAAATGTAAATGCGAATATAGTAATTATTATTTCATTTTAGTAATAAGGTTTTTTGAGAAAAAAAACATTTAGTGTGTACACGGTAAATATTTGGACAAAACTGACTTTGAGTGTGCAAACTCTTCATAATTTTTACACGGTAAAATTATTGTGTCCAAGGGGAACATCTTCGCTTGAACGGTGTGAAATTACCTTGTAAAAAGTGTGTAAATTCTTCATAATTTTTACACGGTAAAATTATTGTGTCCAAGGGGGACATCCTCCCTTGAACGTTGTGAAATTACCGTGGTGACACAAAAAAAAGACTGTGAACATACAAATCTATACTACTAAGTTCCTCCAGATAACACACAAATGACTGAACTTCAAGTCAATACTCCTGCAAAATATGTTTGAATAAGTACTGATAATGAGTATTTAGAGCCTGTTGTACTTATTAAAAGTGGTATTAAAAGAAATAAAGTAAACGAAAGGAAATTTGTTCAAGGCTTAAGACATCAAATTCCTAAAACATGGATACTATTTATCTTAAAGGTGTCATACGTAGTGGCTATTGTAGTATACTATATCCAACTTAATAATGGGAAAATAAAGATAACAATCAAATGCGTACCAAAACAAATCTCTAATATAAGGAGCCACACAATTAGATCATGCGACGTGAGGTAACAAGAGAAGAGCTATTAATTTATAATCGATAAATTAATATAGGAATGGCAAATAGGATTTTTTCAATGTGCCAAATTATGACATAGTTTAACTAACTTAGATAGAAGTTACCACATCAATTAAAAATCCTATACTAATTATATGACGTTTTAATTTTTATTGTCCGTGTATTACGGGGTTTTCCAGTTGCATCTGAATACTACTAAATCACTGTCTGAATTCTTATTTCTCAATACCATTATAGTTATTAATTACCCAACTTATTTAATGAATTAATTATCGTTAAAAAGTATTAACTTTATTTTTGATAATAATATATAACACTAAGTTTTAAAAATGCATAAGTGGTTGTTTACATATTTAATACATCACCAATTAATAACAATAATAATAGCTTCTAAAAACTTTAAATCATATTCAGATCCACTGAAACAAATATCTAATATAAAAACCACACAATTAGGTCTAATACAGGGATGGCAAATAGGATTTTTTCAACGTGCCAAATTATGGAATAATTCAAAAAAAAAATGTTTAGCTGTGCCATAATTATTTTTATTAATACAGTAAAATACAAATACAAAATGATGGCAAAAAGTTTCGAACATCCTGTAGTTTTTGATTTGACATTTTGAATAAAAATTAATATTAATAACGTACAATTTGCACACGATGTATTCTCTCAATATACGAACGAGAACTGATTATATAATATTAACTTATCCACACAGTTATAGTAATCTAGTGTCCCACTAAGTAATTTTGACAAAATTATATTTGATTACATCTGTAGCAACCAAAATTCCTATGTACACTTAGAATCATCTTAAGGGCGCTTTCACACCAAACGATATTATCGGTGTCGGTATCGGTATCGGTAGAAGTAAAATTGTATGGTTTTAAATGGACCGCTTTAACATTGACACCGATCCGATAAAAATATCGTTTTAGTGCGACGATATGGGAGTGCATGTCGGACAGACGATATTTTTATTGTTCCGATTTCAATGACCAATACAAACAAATGATCGGTTTTCACACATGACCGATAATATCGTCGTGCCGAAATAGTGTTATCAATTTTGTTCATTATTTTGTTGTTAAATATATAAACACGTGGTTGATACAAATATAATTATTCAACATTTTTTTAATTTTAAAATTATTAAAATGAGTTTTTCATACGATATTCAAGCATTAATTGAATTATTGGAATCTAGGCTTTTGGGACAAAATAAAAACAGAGTTCAGGGACAGAAAAATTAAACGTAATAAATGGAACGAAGTGTTTATTTATTTTGAAAAAAATTATGAAGAAAAATATTATTTTTTTTTAATTTTCTAACTTCAACCGCAGTTAATGTATTACAAAATAACATAAAATACATAAATAAATTGTTATTTGTTCTTTGTTGCTAATTAGTATTATAAAGATTATTACAAATATGGAATCCTGGGTTAATGATGTCAAAGTTTTAAATTGCACTGAACTCCAACAAGGTTCAATCCAAGGTATGGACTACAATGGAACACGACATGGATCACAGAGATCTATAACAAATCAGATCTCGTCATCAATACCTTCTATACCTAACATGCCAAATGATGAATGTGTAAAAGTTTGGAACATTCTACAATCATGGAATATGGAATATGTATATGAAACATGTAGAGTTGGTGAGTTGGAAGTGCTCACGTAGATTTACTGGACAATGGAGACTGTTGATTTGTTGACGTACAATCAACGCGTCGAGAGGACCGCTCAGAAACAATAAATTGCTGTTTCACATATTTGCCGACGTTTATCGGTCTGATCTCAAGGGCCCCGACCACGTGTCTGCTGGTTTATATCACGAACAATTTTGTAGACTTTTACAAAAACATGGTAAATTTTTGTCTCAAAAAAATCAAGTGTCCGCAAAAAGTGTAGCATTCGTCAAGAGCACAATATTGATGATACTTCTAATAATTTAAGTTTTGAAGAATGTGCTGGCATATTAGAAATAAATAATGGTAAATTGTGTTTTCCTGATTACTTTGTAATAAAAAATAGTAAGTATTGAAATATATAATATTTAGACTTAAGTAAATACACGGGATAACTAATAACTAGAGCCCGGATTTATATGCATTTGCATGTTCGTACTAAGTGTATGCACGTCTACGAAATATTATATTATAAAGAATACTAAGGAAGTATATTTTATATTTTTATGTTACATATTAATTATTATGTTTGCAATGTTGTTATACATTGTTTTTATATAAGTATAAAACTTGTTATAAATTTATAATAGATTGTGCATTTTATTTGAGTTATACAAAATCGCAAATAAAAAATAAATTACAATTTATAGTTTCATTTTTAATATGCATAACTAATTATTTTGAATTCTGATGGTTAGGTAATAGGTTACAATGTTGGAACATGAATTTTCATAGTTTTTATAAGTCATATTTTTATAAATAGAGTGAAAATAGTAAAAATAAAATGTTAAGACCGCCCAAAAAACCAATTTGTAGCAAAATCTATGAATTTTTTGATGCACAAATGGAATTGAGAATCACAGGTGATACTCAGTTGGCAGTTCATGAATTAAACATTTGAAAAAAATAACCAGAAAATATCAGTCAACGTTTATGGAGTAAAAAAAGAAAAGAATAAGAAACATTGTTTATCCACTTAAGGTTGTGGATGAAGAAAAAAATATCATTCTGATCTCTGACTGATTACTGATGGTAATAAAAGCCACTACACCTACATTTCTAACCTTTCGAGGCTTGTGAGATCACAAATAACCGGACATGAAGAGAGCGTAATATTTTGCAAACGTTGCTTCACTAGTTTTGACAATATACATACAAAATATAAGTTAAAAGATCAGGCAGGGCTTGAACAACATAAGTTGATATGTGGAGTACATAAGCCAATTCTACCTAAGATGCCTGAGCCCGGTACATTGTTGCAGTTCGATGGGTGGAGTAATGCTCAAAGACATACATTCGCTATATATGCCGATTTCGAGGCACTCATTGTTAAATGTGACGAAATAAAAGGCAAGAAAACAACAGCTTTTCAAAAGCACGAGCCAATGAGCTATGGAGTTTTCGTAAAGGCTTCAGAAAACGTCCCCATTGATTTGCTGGAGTAATATGAGATAAAAACATAAATTATTATTCATCGTGGAAGCGAGTCACATCAGGATGTAGCCAAGCATTTCGTTAATGAAGTGACTGAGATGGCGAGAAGAGTTTAAGATTTACTTAAAACAAATAAACCCATCATAATGACAGAAGAAGAACAAATAGCACGTGTATCGAAAAGTACATGCAATCTATGTAAATGTAATTTTTCTATGAAAAACCAAAAGGTGGCAGATCACTGCCATCTATCAGGAAAATTTAGGAAAACCTTATGCAATACTTGCAACCTGAAACTCCAAAAACCTAACTTTGTACCGTGCTTTCTACACAATTTGTCTAATTACGATGCACATTTCATCGTAACCGAACTCGGAAATGATACTAAATCAATCTCAGTGATTCCGAACAGCCAAGAAAAATACATTTCATTTTCAAAACACGTTACCAACAACTTTTCAATTCGATTCATAGACTCTCGTCGATTCATGGCATCAAAGTTATCAACACTCGCAGAAAATTTATTAACACCAGGGTTCGAGAAGTTTAGAGAAACCACAAAAGCATTCGTACCCAGAGATATGGATCTCGTTACACGTAAGGGTGTCCATCAGTTGGATCAAGTTAGAAGAAACAATTTTGCCTCGGAAAGAAGATTTTTATAACACATTAACGGAAGAACATATAGACGATGAGAAATACGAACACGCAGTCACAGTATGGAACCATTTCAAATGCAAAACCCTAGGAGAATATAGCGATTTGTATCTAAAAATTGACGTGCTGCTGCTGGCAGACGTGTTCGAAAATTTCAGAGACATGTGCATTTCTACGTACAATTTAGACCCTGTTTACTACTTTACAGCTCCAGGTTTTAGTTTTGACTGTATTTTGAAATATACCAAAGTCAAACTAGAATTACTCTCTGATTTTGACACCCACTTATTTTTCGGAAATTCAATCCGCGGAGACCTCACACAAGCAAGTATGACGCTAAAGCTAATAATGAAAAATCCAAGATTGTAACAATTTGCACGGATGGGCAATGTCACAGCACATGCCATAAGGTGACTTTAAATGGGTGGAGCCTAAGTTAGACGGATTAGATGCTTTGACGCCGACGTCAGATATAGGCAGAGTGTATGAGGTAGACATATCATACCCTAATGAACTGCATGACTTACATAACGATCTTCCATTTTTACCTGAGAAAAAAATTCCTCCTGGTTCAAAAGTGAAAAAACTTATGGCGACACTTCATTCAAAAAAAATTACGTAATCCATTATCGAAACCTACAGCAAGCCATAGCAAATGGATAAATTGTAGACAAAGTACACAGAGTTTTAGAGTTCAAACAATCGGATTGGCTTGCAAAATACATTAAATTAAACATCGAAATGAGAAAAAACGCGAAGAATGAATTCGAAAAGGATTTCTTTAAACTCTTAAACAATGCCGTTTTTGGGAAAACCATGGAATCTTTAAGAAAACGTTTTAAGATGGAGCTAGTTTCATGTCCACAAAGATTACAAAAACTCATCAACAAGCAAACATTTAAACATTGTACGACATACAGTGAAAATCTTGCTGCTGTCTCATTGGAAAACAAAATTATCATGTTTAACAAGCCAATATATATAGGTAACAATTTTACTTGCATAAAAAAAAAAAATTCATATTTTATAATACCTATTTATAATTTTTAATTATTTTTTTTAGGTTTCGCAGTATTGGACATCAGTAAAACCATGATGTACCATTACCATTTCAATGTAATGCAGGCGCATTATGGTAATAATATCAACCTCATGTATACAGATACAGGTAAATACCTAATTATTATTCATTTTTTTCTATTACAAACATTATATTTATTTTTTTTTCTAGATTCACTGATATATCATATTAAGACTGATGATTTTTACAAAGATTTGAAGTGCAATTCCAACTTACTTGACCGGATGGATACTTCAGATTTACCGATAGACCATCCATGCTATATTGCAGAACGAAAGAAAATTCCAGGATTGTTTTCCGATGGGGCAAAGGGACAGACAATTACCAAATTTATTGCACTTAGAGCAAAGTCATACTCTTACATTTTGAACGATAGTTAAAATAAACAAATTTGTTTCTCGACACATATGGGTACTATACAGGTCTTGATAAAAATATGAGACAAAAAGTAAATACCTATTTAAAATCTCACAAAAAAAATATAATTTCAACAGTCTACAAAACATAAATAAATATTGGTTATACTGTATCCTCTTTAATCTAAATAATTAATACACAAATTTTATATGTATAATAATATCATATTTTCACTGAAAAAATATACAAACTTAATTTTCATATTGGTACATTCATAGATACCTTTACTAAAAGTTATTATTTTTCTTTAAATTTCATAAAAACTGTATTCATAGACCCATATGCATCAGCTATATAATATAACACCTATACTATCGTTAAAATGTTCATTGATTTTCATCACTTTACCTGTCTCGAAATACACAAACCTATAACACGTCGGTGTTCATCACTATATATATTTTTTTTTGATTTTCCATCAATGTAACATAGAAATCGTATATTTATCTCCAATTATCGTTAAATACATGAGAGTATTTATGCTGAACCATACCCTATCACTTATATTATAATAAATCATATGATAGGTGGGTTGATACAAATTATATCTTATATGCATCACTTAACACTCATTTTACACAAAATACTAGGAATTTATTTTTAAATTTTTCGACTAGATACATAAATATTTTATACATTATTCTATTTACTTTATAAATAATGTAAAACAGGACTTCATCACAAGTTAGAATATATCTTGCCATATTGTATAGTAGATATTTAATAATTAGTCATAGTTTGATTTTATATAGGTATAATATATATTCATACTATTATATTTCTATTTTCGTTGTAAATATCAACATACTGATCGTAAATATAAACATATTTTATACTCCAACACATATAGACACTATATATATATATATATATCTTGATAAAACTATCTTAATAAGACGATAAAATGTATAATTTATACTCCAAAACATATAGACACTATATATATATATATATATATATATATATATATATCTTGATAAAACTATCTTAATAAGACGATAAAAAAAATGTATAATTTTAACAGTCTACAACGCTGATATAAATATAGCTTTTATTGTATTCGATTTTACTCTAAATAATTGATAAGTACGCATATTTGTATTATAATAATATGCAGGGCCAAAGACAAAAATGCAAAATTAACACATTGGTCACTACAATTAGCTAATTTAGATTTTAGTACGGTACACGTCCCGGGAATACAAAACGAAGCACCGGATTTGTTATCCCGCGACCCATCACCAAATGCACCCGTAGACGAAGATCGAATTGAGGAAAAATTGGTAGGGGCACCCGCAACGCCAACAACCAATGTGGACCTCGAGTCTTACCGTATATTTTCTATGCTCAATAACCACGTCAGTGACGATTCTCGAAAAGTGGCAGTCCAAAAACGCCACGATTCACGACGTAGTCATCGGTCACAGGTGGGACGACCCCGCGCGGAACGCTAGGAGCACACAATCGGGAATAAACGCATACGTTTATTTCTAAGGTCTCTTATACGTAAACGTAGGCTCCCACACACCCGTCATCATACCAAAAACCAAAGCTTCCAAAACTTCAATTATTGAAAGTGCGAGTTCTCTCACTAAGTATGTAAAAGACGAAAATGAGAAAAACACAGAGGCATCATTTAAAAACCTCACACCATTTCCAGAAGTTTGATTAAACCTAGTATGATAGAAGTGGTCTCTTGTATTCTCGGAGAAGATGCGGGAAAAAAAGTTGCAGCAGTGCAGTGCTCAAAAAATACGATTTCTGATCGAATTCATACAATTTCTGACCACGTTGAAGATGAATTTGTCTTCAGATTAATTAACTGAAACCAATTTTCTTTACAAATGGACAAAAACACCGATGTTTCTGGGTTGTCCATACTACTTGTTTTTGCCACATATACTCATGAGAAAACCATTCAAGAAGGGTTGATTATTTGTGAAAGTTTGAAAATGCATACCACAGGAGAGGAAATTTTTGAAGTTTTAAATAAGTACTTAGTGAAAAAAAATATCATGGCAAAAATGTGTGGACGTATGCACGGATGGTGCTGCTGCAATGTTTGGGAAGATAAAAAGTGTAATAACCAGAATTAAAGAGGTAGCTCCGAAAATTAGTAACAGCCATTGTGTCTTACATCGCCATGCGTTAGCAACCAAGAAACTTTCGACAGATCTTAAATCAGCACTAGACGTAGCTGTTCAGTGTGTGAACTTTATAAAATCACGCTCCTTAAAAACCAGGCTGTTCAAGAAGCTCTGTGAGAAAATGGGGAGTGACCAACAGAATCTTCTTTTACATACAGAAATCAGGTGGTTGTTCAGAGGCAAAGTTTTAATAAGACTTTATGAATTGCGAGATGAAGTAAAAAATTTTCTGAAGGAGCATACGAAAAGAAATCTTTTTGAGTGGTTTCATGATGTGGATTGGCTCATAAAGTTAGCTCAACAGATATTTTCAACAAGTTTAAAACTTGATAAAACTTGGGTAACAAACTTGGGTTTACAAGGAAAAAAAACTTCGATCTTTCAAGCAAATGACAAGAGTAAAGCTCTTATTAGCAAGTCATATTATTTAATTGAACAATAATTTATTTTACCACTTAAATTATGATTTATCTAAAAAAAATTAGGTCAAAATAATTATAAAACACTGTGCATAAAAGAGTTAAAGACTAATAATAAAATAGATTATAATGTTATTACTTATACATTTAAAAGTAAAAGACAAATTCTTGACTGAATAGTCCACTGAATGGATCTGCATTTCTCAGATACCAAGTTAGGAATTGCGATGAAGAGGAAATGAAACTCTATTAAATGAAAATATTGTAGGAGACCATCGCGTATTCAAACAATACAAAAATAAGTAACACAATTCCAAATTATTAATAAATCTGATTTTTTATTTGGATTAATGAAAAATATATAAATATAATTAATTTCATAAATATTGGATGATATTTACGAATTTCCATAGGTAAATATAATGGATTTGAACACGATACAATGTAGGATTTAGATGGTACAACCCAGCACAAATACGTTGTAAAAATTCATTATTTTTTATTGATAATAAAACATATTGAGAAATTATAAAAAAAAATAATAATCAAATTATTTTATCAAAAAAAATTGTGATGTTTTTGTAATTGTTTCTCTTTAATTTAAACTCTTCAAAACGTTAAGTTTTCATACAACATGTTAGGCTAGTATGATATAATATTTGAAAAAAGACATTTTTTTTTTTTTTTAATAATGTTTCACTATATAATATTAACATTGTAACACAAAAACTATTTTTTTTTTTTAATATAATATTTTTCTAGTAGTGTTAATTATATTTATAGATGGTTGTTTACACATTTACTACATCACCAATTAATAACAATAATAATAACTTCTTAACCCTACATAAAACTGGTTTGATCAGTAAATTATTTTATTCTGTACACACTATATAACAACTATTTTTTTAAATATTCTTTACTTTACATTGCATTATAAACTTGTTCACTGTTAATATACCGTGTTTCCTATAACACCATTCTGTGAGACATATAATATAGCTGTTGTGTATAAATACACATACAAGCTTTTACCACATATGCTAATTAGCTTACATGTACAACCAATAATTTTTTTGTTTGAGATTTTGGGTTGAAATTCAACATGTTCATTCATATATACATTTAAGAGCTTGCGAATGTTGAGCCAGGGGCTCAAACATATGCATTTATTGAATAATATATCAAATCACAGCTAACCTGACTATATATCAGATGAAATTTAAACTTACAATTATTATACACAATAATAATAACACGTATAAATCATCTTTTTATTTTTTATTTGTTTAAATTAAAACAAATGTATATCAATGTTAATGCAAATATGGTAGATGAGAACATATAGCTGTTATATAATTATACACAATTAATAATAAAATTATAATGTAATAATAAAAGAAAGATTCAAACATTTTGTTTTATCAAAAAATATTTTAGTTGTAGTATATGTAAAAAACCAGACAAAAAACTTTAATTCATAATTCAGATCCAAATTGTATCAAACATCCATTATTTTCAGTTAACTAAATATGTTACTATTATACAGTAAATGTACTTATGAATTAATAATTATCTACAATCACAAAATTATTTTTACTTGATATAATAATTGAAACAATTCTTAAATAAAATGGAAATTTTCTTGACTTAAAAGATCCAATTTTATAATAAAGAAATTAAATTACCACACAAATTTTAGAAGTTTGAAGGTCATAAGTCATTACAACAGGTAAACATAAGAATTATATAACGTTCCTCCGACACCGAACGCAGAACTGATTGATTCTACGTCATATACATTGGACTTTGTCGCCCGTAAATTTATACATATTGGCATCGATCCGACTAACGAATTCAATACCATGGTTCATATTATAACTTCTTCGCGGTACGTCAAAATTACACCGGATTTTTAAGAATATCCTCGTTGCTGGGCGATATTTTGTCGTTTATATTGGATCCACCAGAAAAATAATAGAAGCTATTATTTCTGGAAACTGATCAATTTGAATTAACAAGTATGGTGTATATGGGCGAAAACGTATTGGTAATAGAGTGTAAAAATGAAATTGGATGTCGTGTACTATTATATCGCGCGGACCAAATACAGTTGCAATATTTGGAGTAGTGTATTTATGAATCAGTTTCACGAAAATCAAATTTAACAAATCCAGCTGTCTGAAAACAATTTGATATGTTTTTAAACTATATCGACCATGAATTCACCAAAATGGAATCCCCGCCTAGAACGCCTAAATGATCAAATTTATTAAAAATGTACGCGACAAAAGTGTAATTGCAAAAAATGATATAAACTTTGTTAGCCAGCTGAAAATTTTTTGCAACAAGCCAATTAGCTGAACAATGGGCACAACGATAGAATAGTGAAATGTCAGCCGAGGTAATTTAACCTTTAAATTATATCACTTGTAAAAATATTTAATGTATTTTATAGTTGTTCACTGAATCCGAGGTTAGACTCATTTCGCTCCAGAGATATTCAAGTATGTCTTTAATGCACGAAGACCTTTCACAAGCAAGGGTAAATTATAATTTATAAATTAAAAAACAATACAATTAATAATTATAAAAATTATTTAGGCAGCTGACGATAAATGTGGTATCGATGAATTTTTAACGCAAATGAACCCTACACAAGCGACATGGGCACCAATTCGGAAAACAAAATCATTGGTTATACTCACATTTAATTTTTAAAATAAATATATGTTTTAACAAAATATTATTTGTTTAGCGTCATATCCTGTAAATCTACATGACTTACCATTCCTAACACAAAACGGAATACCTGCGGGCTCGAAGCAGGTGTCACCCTTACGAGTATACTGACACATGGGGTAAGCTTGATTAAAATGTGTTACCGGATAAAGCTGAATTCTACAGTATCCTGACCGAGTCGGTGGTTGAAGATAAAGAATATGAACACGCTTTAAAAGTGTGGGAACATTTTGGATGCAAAACGATCGGTGAATATTCAAATTTGTATTTGAAAATCGATGTGCTGCTACTGGCTGACATTTTCGAAAATGTCGGTGATGTGTGAATGAAGGCCTACAACTTAGATCCTGCATACTATTACACACCTCTAGGGTTTTCATTCGACTGTATGCTTAAATACACCTCAATGGAGCTGGAAATTTCTTCCACCGGTTTATACGAAAATATCAAAAAATTACAAAAGATATAAAAAGCACTGTAAAAAAACAAAATACATACAAAATTTGACGAAAACATACGCGAGCACTAAGCCGATGACGTTGACTGAATACGAAATGGATATTTCGACTTTTCCGTGTCCCGAAGACTATACGCGCATATCGACGTTTTTACAATGGAGAGACGACAAGGAAAACATAACGATTTTACGTTCGGATTTAGGAGAACGGTTAAAAATATTTTCATTAGAAAATGATAAAACGCCAGAAATCCGACAATCCGTGGTAAATAACGACAGAGACCTTTTCGTGTTTAATTTTACGTACGGATGCATACAGACTGTGTACGTAACCGAAATGCAAATACTCGTAAATAAATTTATAAGAGATGTTGACGTTAATCGTCGCCGTCGTCGGTTCCTACGCTAATAACCGGAGAATTAGAAATGTTGTGTCTGACGTATTGGCGATTAAGTACGACTGATTTAATAAACTATCTTTTATAGAACAATTAAATGGTTTTTTGGAGGTTTTTGAAGCACAAAAATATATTAAAAGGCTAGTTATACCTATTTTATTTAATTTATAAATTAATTAATTTTTAGTATTTAAAATATATTTTTCTTTTGTTAGGATTTGGGTGATTATTTTCTAAACCCTTTACTGAAGAGTTTGACGAACTGGTTCAGTATTACCTAGATACAAATCTACAAATTGTTACAGCCGAATTACTACTATGGCACACTAAATTGGAGAGAAATAAAGAAGAACCGAAAAATGCATTAGAGGCATTAAGACAGTGTAACAATGAAATATTTCCTAATATCCATCGCCTGATTAAAATTCTGTGTACTGTATCAGTATCTACAGCAATGCCAGAGAGGACTTTTTCTTGTCTTAAAAGACTTAAAAACTATTTATGTAGTACAATGACAGAGGTATTAACTTTTATTTACAAACATAATGTTTGGTTAAATTTATAAGTATACCTAATGTATCTGTTAAAATATTTTAGACCCGTCTTAATGGACTCACATGTTGGAAATTCATGGGGATGTTCCACTAATAGCTGAGGAAGTGGTGGACGATCTGGCAAAAAAGCCAAGGAAATTAAACTTTATATTATAATGTGTTATTGTGTTAAAATATATATAATTTTTTTAAATATATATATATATATATATAGGAAACGAGCTACAATAAACCCTCAAAACAATGACCAGCAATGTTTCAAGTGGGCTATATTAGCGAAGCATGTGGAAGAGAATTTATCGGATAAATATAAATATTGTGTCGGTAAAAATTATAGACAGCAAGAGGGGAGATATAATTTTGATGGTATCACCTTTCCGACACCTCTGTCAGATATAGCCAAATTTGAAAATAATAATCCGAACGTCACTTTGAATGTGTATGGGTTGGTCAAAAAATTCCAGCCGCCGTTGAAAGAACCAACGTACGAGGTGTACCCCCTTCGTGTAGTAGACGAGGAGAAAGCCAATCATTTTGACCTGCTGTTGGTGACAGACAACAATGTGTGGCATTACGTCTACATCTCGAATTCTCCCGGCCTGATACGAGCGAAAAAACTAGACATAACGGTCGCGTTGTTTTTCGTAAAAGGTGCTTTACCAGCTTCGACAATCAAATATATGAACACAAGCTGAGTGGGCAAGCAGCACTTGATCAGCATAAATTAATATGTGGATCGCATAAACCAATTTTACCTCAGATGCCTGAGCCTGGTTCAATATTGGAGTTAAGTGCATGGAACAAAACACAACGCCACCCCATAGTTATTTATGCCGACTTCGAGGCGCTTCTAGTTAAATGTAACGAGAAAAAAGGAAAATCAAAGCGGAGGGGACAAGGAAAAATCTCGTCGATAACTATATGACGTTCGACGATCACAAAAAGTGTTTGTTTGGAGAAACAGACGTGGAGGTGTATAAGCCAGTATCTGCCACAAGCAGAATTAGCGTACCTCTGCTTATATAATATATCACCGAGTATAGCTACCATCAATAAATACCATAAATGTCTTTGGAAGATAAACGATCAAAATGATTACAATAAAAAAAAACGAAAGCTTATAATGAACTTCTACATTCGGTAAAAGACGATTTCAATAAAGCTGACGTACGTTTTGTCAAAAAAAAACTAAAAACATACGAAATTCTTTTAAAAAGAGAAAATAGAAAACATCAAATTTTGCTTCTAGAGGGCATACTGTTGTATATGCGTGTGTGTGTATGTGGGCATGTGGTATATTGTGTGTACTATGTATGTACTATGTATGTACTATGTATGTACTATGTATGTACTATGTATGTACGCATGTATATATGTATGTATATATAGATAGTATGTACTGGAGGCTCGCATATACACACAAATGTGTTGACTCAGGGCAAAAGGAGTGTGTGACCATCTCGGTTCCCACGATGGTCTACGTGACCAAAAGGGCTGGGTCAGCACATACCTAAGACCCCCGGACGGACCGTTGCGACGGGCCCGGTCGGGAGTGGCAGTCGCGTAAAGTCGAAAGAGTGAGCAACACCCGCGTTACTGGTCAGAGCATCTTTTAAGTCTTATAACAGAGCATCATTTAGTTTTTTAATCAGAACCTCTTATATTAGTGTGAAATCAGTATTCAATATAATCTTTTCAATAGTGTTTAATGTAATAAATTCGTAATTCTATTTCTACCAAATCTTTGTGTTTTTCATTTGACACCAACTCCTAATATTTGAATGCCATACGACGGTGGACTACACTTCATTGGTGGCAGCGGTGGAATCTCTAAAAGGGAAAAATTCCCGTAATATTATTTTGCGATAGAACAATTTTGGAGATCACTAAAGACCTACGTAGACTACCGCCGTCTCAGTTCAAATATTATCTTAATAATCGGAAAAATCGGTACAGAAAATCAATACAGAAATTCGTTCAATAATCAGAGACACGGCTGACCAAAGGTATAATATACATGTCATAATACAGTGTTGTTTGGCAATATACGCGTCGCCGCCGATAGTGTCACAGCCGTGTGTAATATACATCCGACCGTCGGAGTGTAATATATATATATATATATGTTGGCAACACTGTTTGTGTTCTGAGGGTTAAGTTCAGGCACAGCACTGAGGGAGTGAGGAGTAGTGTAGTTGCGACATGCACCGAGTGAGTATGCGTCTGAGTCCGAGTCTGAGTCTAAATCCTAAGTATTGTAAAATATGATAGTTATAATAAATAATATTGTTTTCTTTAGCTAAATCTGGTTGTTCAACTTTATTGAGATAATTTAGTGTTTTCTAACAATTCAGAAGTGGGATAGACACCGTAAAACTCGCCGCCGGAAAGTACGAAAAGTGCGTTGTCTAATCGCGTAAAGTGAAGTTGTGTGTGCGAAATTATTAACCATCCGACCATCGGTCTATTGTTCGTAAGTACGAAATCAACTGCCGTAGTGCTGTCCAAGGACTGCCGACTGAGTGCAAAACGGCGATTTGCAAGGTAAAGAAACACGTGGTTGGCGTGTCATAGGGGAACGAATTGTCATAACCTCAAATAGACGTTACCCCGCGTATCACTTGTCGATACCAGAACCTGTACGATAACGGAATCGAGCTTATCACTTTATCAGTGTAATCAAACTGTGATAAAAACGAGAAATGTCAACAAAATTCAACGACATCGAGAATAAGTAAGTAACGTTCGTATTTTACAATACGCGATGAATGACGGAAGTAACCAAATGGGTCCAACACAAGCAGCGGTTCACGAAATATTGCGTCAGCTGATCCAGCAGAATAATACGCGGGATCAGCAAGTCATGAACATCTTGGAGAATATAGCGAGTCAGCGAGCTCAACCAGTACTAGCGACGGGTACCATACCGAATTTAAACGCAACAATCGGAACATTTGATGGGGAATCTGACGATGCAGGCCACGCACAAGGATGGATTTCATCACTAGAAACTACTGCGTTACTTAATCAATGGCCCGACTTGTATAAGTTAGAAGCAGCGCGTTCACATTTGACTGGTGCTGCCAGAAATTGGTACCTAGCTAGACAATCTGAAATTGAAACATGGGCAAAATTCAAGGAACAATTTGAACAAATGTTTACGACAGCGATTAGTGTGTCGGAACAGTGGAAACGACTACAAGCTAGAACACAGCAACGAAACGAAACCGTTTATGCGTATTTCCACGACAAAATGCGTATGTGTCGACAGCTGAAATTGAGCAAGTCGGAGAGCAAGAAACTGATGTGTATGGGATTACACTCTAAGGATATGTGCAACGTCCTTATGAGTAGAACTCACAATGAAGAATATGAGGTATTGCAAGACCTACGAGAGTGTAACGAAGTGTTTCAAAGCCGAAACGAACGTTTCAAATCGACATCAAATAGTAAGTCCACACTTAGTAAAGAGGAAAATTTTAAAAATAAAACTAACCCCATGAAAAGTCCGTCGACGCAAACACAACCAATAAAACCAGTTAATAACTGGCAGTTATGCCGGCAGCTTTCAAACGAGAAAACCCCGAGGTGAAATGTTATAATTGTCAGTTGTTAGGTCATATCGCGCGAGATTGTCCACAACCGCGGTGACCGTTAAAATGTAGTAAATGCAAAGCGGAAGGACACACAGCCAAATACTGTACTACTCGATCGCCGGATATAGCATTGGTAGAGCAGAACCAGACTGACAATCGGACAGTGTATATTAAGGATGTATATCTGAATAATAGTACGGATGCGATCAAGGGATTGGTGGACACCGGTAGTACCCTCACCATAATCAGACGAAGTCTAGCGGAGCGATATGGTATGGATATCACACCCCGAAAAATACAACTAAGAGTGTACGGTAACATACCATGTGTAATCGGTAGCGGTGACACCGAAGCTGAGGTAAGAATTGACACTGTGTCAGAAAAAATAAAATTGTTAGTGGTAGAGGATCACATGCAGAACTTTGACATTATCATCGGGCGAACGTTCATTAACTGTGCAAATGTATCGTTTATCAAAACTGCGGATCAACTCATATTTGCTTACGATATGCCATTGCTCTTCACCAACGAACCGGACGAAGCGCTCAGCGAACAGAGACCTTTTACTCCAGTAACGGTACACGAGTTACACGAGATACCAGCAGCAAGTGTGAAAATGGTAGAGGTGAATGTGAACTCAACTATTGTAGAAGTGTTGATGGTGAATCATGGTGATGAACCAGTTCAGTTGAAAAAGGGGACACAAGTCAAACGCCTACACATGGCAGTGCAGCAATCGGGACCAAGTCAGCCATACGAAGAACCAATAACCAGGGAAAAGGTCAAGTACAACCCACATTTCACTGAACATGAAGTAACACAATTAATTAATTTGTTAACCGAGTATAGAAAATGTTTTGC